ATTTTCATTTCATGCAATTACTGCTATAGTTAGGTTTGTCTACCATTTTGCTGTGCGTTTGTTATTTTTTCTACTGATTGGTTCTTTTATTCCTTCTCATCTTCACTCGATTTAACAAACTATGTTTAATCCATTTTTCTCCTCTGCCAGCTTTTTAGTTACACATTCTTTTTTCATTTTTGTGGGTACATAGTATGTGTATATACTTATGGGGTGCATGAAATATGTTGATACAGGCATGAATGTGTAATAATCACATCAGGATAAATGGGATATCCATAACCTCAAGTACTGATCATTTCTTTACATTACGTACATCCCAATTATGCTCTTCTGGTTATTTTTAAATATACAGTAAATTATTGTTGACTGTAGTCAACCTGTTGTTTCGTCAAATGCTGGGTATTATTCATTCTGTCTAACTATATTTTTTATCCATGAACTGTCCCCACTTCCTCCCCCGCCCACCCTCGCTACCCTTCCCAGCCTCTGGTGACCATCATTCTTCTCTCTGTCTCCATGAGTTCAGTTATTTTCATTTTTAGCTCCCACAAATGAGCTGAGAACATGTGAAGTTAATTATACACTCTTTTGTTAATCTTTCCGAGGCCACCTTACAGATTCCAAAACATCTTTGACTTACTACTCTCCATCTTTTAATAATACTTTTACCATATCCCAAACAATGCAAAAAATGTGTACAAAAGTTAAACCCTCTCCTACCCTATGTGCTACTGTTATATATTTTGCTGCTCTGTAAGTTAGGAATCCCACAGGATACCATTGCTCTGGCTTTAAGCAGTATTGATTTATGTTTACCTGCATCTCTGTCCTCTGCTGTGCTCTTTATTCCCTCCTATGGTTCTGTGCAGGTCTAGAATCTTTCCTTCAGTGTAAAGGACTCCCTTAAGTATTTTTTTTTTTTTTTTAAGATGGAGTCTTGCTCTGTCACCCAGGCTGGGGTTCAATGGCGCTGTCTTAGCTCACTGCAACCGCCACCTCCCTGGTTCAAGCGATTCTCCTGCGTCAATCTCCCAGGTAGCTGGGTTTACCAGTGTGCACCACCACACTTGGCTCATTTTTGTATTTTTAGTAGAGATGGGGTTTCACCACATTGGCCAGGCCGCCCTTGAACTCCTGACCTCAAGTGATCGGCCTGCCTCAGCCTCCCAAAGTGCTGAGACTACAGGCATGAGCCACCGTGCTCAGCCTGTCTTATTTTGTAATGCTGGTTGGTTAGTGACAATTTTCTCTGTTTTTGTTTATCTGAAAAACCTTATTTTGCCAATCCTTTTTGAAGGATGTTTTCACTGGATATATGCTCTAACCTAGGTTGGCAGGTTTTATCTTTTAGCCTCTGAAAGTTTTCTTTCTGTTGTCTTTTGACCTTCTTTCTTTCTTTCTTTCTTTTATGATGGAGTCTTGCTCTGTTTCCCAGGCTGGAGTGTAGTGGCGTGATCTTGGCTCATTGCAACCTCCACCTCCCAGGTTCAAGTGACTCTCCTGCCTCAGCCTCCGGAGTAGCTGGGACTACAGGCACACGCCACCACACCCAGCTAATTTTTTGTATTTTAGTAGAGATGGGGTTTCACCGTGTTGCCCAGGCTGGTCTCGAACTCCTGAGCTCAGACAATCCACCCACGTCAGCCTCCCAAAGTGCTAGGATTACAGGAGTGAGCCACAACACCCAGCCTGTTGTCTTCTGACTTTCATAGTTTCCGCTGGAAAGTCAGCCATCAGCCTGATGGGCACCCTTTTGAAAGCCAATGTTTCTTTTTCCCTCTGACTGATTTTCTCTTTACCTTTGGTTTTTAGCATCTTGCCTATGACATGCTTAATAGTTTTCTTTGTGTTTATCTTACCTGGGGTCCGCTTGACTCTTCTTGATAAATTTCAGCTTCTTGTTGAAATTCACCTATGTGAAGATGATGTGGGAAATGCCCTCAGAAAAATTCAAGAATGAATGTGGAGCTCAATTCATATCCTCCTTTTCTCTCAGAATTGTAGCTCCCAGAATCCTCCCTGTGTTGATGCATTCCAGGGCCCTCAAATAGTGTTTCTGTCTTTTGTACAACTCGTATAGTTGTTTTCAACGATTTCATTTTGCCAAATTTAGAACTTTCTGGAATAGCTTTTCAATAGCAATAGCTACTTAGGGTTTCATGAATGGTCCTCGTGAATGTTTTAATATTTATTTTCCCTGCTAAGTCTGTCATTTAGAAGAAAACAGTAAGCAATTTGTGGTCTCCAAAGATGCCCCTGACCAGGCACAGTGTCTCATACCTGTAATCCTAAGACTTTGGAAGGCCAATGTGGGAGGATCACTTAAGCCCAGGAGTTTTAAGACCAGTCTGGGCAGCACAGCAAGATCCTGCCTCTACAATTTAAAAATTATCTGGACTTGGTGGCATGTGTCTGGAGTCCCAGTTGCTTGGAAGGCTGAGGTGGGAGAATCATGTAAGCCATGGGTGGGGTAGAGGGTATTGCGGTGAGACTACAGTGAGCCAAGGTCACCCCACTTTACTTCAGCCTGGGTGACAAAGCGAGACACTGTCTCAAAAAAAAAAAAAGCAAACAAACAAAAAATAAAAGGTGCCCCTTTCCTGTTTCTATTCCAACCAGTTTAGAAAAGCAAACTAAGCAGATATTCAGTGCGTTTTAAAATGTATTTACATGTGACTTTTCCACTGTATCTTCTATAATATATTCTAGCACCACGATCATGCCCAGGGTAGAAATAGCGAACCATTCAATGGGCACACCTTACCTGGATGCCATTTAGTTACAAAAGCAGTGTGAGTGTTTGTGTGACTTTGACACAGGTGTGACTGAGAAACAGCTCATCAGATTGCGGATGCCACTCCGTTGCTGTTGCTCTCCCACGTCACCGGGTTGGCTCTACCCGTTTCCTTGTCTTTGTTCTCTTGTAGTTCATTTGACTAATATGTAGAATCCCTGCTATGTTCAGGACTCAGTGCTAGGCAGTTAAAACAAATCCATGAAATAGGCCACAGTAGCTCACACCTGTAATCCCAACACTTTGGAAGGCCTAGGTGGGTGGATCACAAGGTCAAGAGATCGAGACTCTAAAAATACAAAAAAAGTAGCTGGGTGTGGTGGCACATGCCTGTAGTCCCAGCTACTTGGAAGGCTAAGGCAGGAGAATTACTAGAACCCAGGAGGCAGAGGTTGCAGTGAGCCAAGATCACGCCACTGCACTCCAGCCTGGCGACAGAGTAAGACTCCATTTCAAGAAAAAAATAAAATAAAATTTAAAAATGCGTGTAATAATTGATGAGCTCCCTGATGCACCAGTAGTCCTTCTATTGTTCTGTAGGTGAACTAGGTACATGCGTGAGTAAAAATCCACACGATGCAAAATGTATCACAATAAAGGAATAAATAGGTGCTGCGTTATTAATCCTAAAGTCATCTGCCTTAGGTTCCTGCAGTTCTTTACATTATTAAGTTAACAAGAGTTTGTTTGTTCATTTGTTTGTTTGTTTGAGATGGATTCTCACTCCGTCACTCAGGCTGGAGTGCAGTGGCGTGATCTGGGCTCACTGCAGCCTTCACCTCCGGGTTCAAGCAATTCTTGTGCCTTGTGCCTCCCGAGTAGCTGGGATTATAGGTGTGTGCCACGACACCCAGTTAATTTTTGTATTTTTAGTGGAGATGAGGTTTCACCATGTTGACCAGGCTGGTCTTGAATGCCTGGCCTCAGGAGATCCGCTTATCTTGGCCTCCCAAAGTCCTAGGATTGCGCTTATGAGCCACCGTGCCTGACAAACAAGGGATTTTTTTTTTAATAGTGAGTGAGAAGAGAATCATTTTGTCTTAGCTAAAAAGTATATGTATGCCAAACCATAATGTAACCCTTTTTTTTTTTTTCAGACGGTCTTGCTCTCTTGCCAGGCTGGAGTGCAGTGGCGTGGTCTTGGCTCACTGCAACCTCCGCCTCCCAGATTCAAGTGATTGTCCTGCCTCTACACATGCACTATAGGCATGTGCCACCACACTCGGCTAGTTTTGTATTTTTAGTAGAGACGGGGTTTCACCATGTTGGCCAGGATGCTTTCGATCTCCTGACCTTGTGATCCACCTGCCTGTGCATGGTGGCAGGCGCCTATAATCCAGCTGCTCAGGAGGCCGAGGCAGGAGAATCACTTGAACTCGGGAGGCGGAGGTTGCAGTGAGCCGGGATCGTGCCACTGCATTCTAGTCTGGGTGACAGAGCAAGACTCTGTCTCAAAAAAGGAAAGAAAATACTAAAAATAAATTTTTATTTCAGGTAACTTGATACAACTTCAGTGTTTTCAGGTGAATTAAACCACATATAGGAGATATTCGACGCTGAAGTTTAATTCTTTTGTATGGTTTTAATTATATAAAGTATCTACGTAGACAAGTGTCTTCAGATGCAGTAAGAAAAAAGATAGAAGTTAATTGCATTATTTCAATTTCAAAAAATAATTTCTAATCCCTATATGCCTTTAGGTGTAATACAAAAGGATTTTTGCTAATGTTAATAAATTCTATTATTTTTAGCTTATCCAACTTACAAAACTTATTACGGAAGACAACTGATAAGACTCGGTCGAATATGTTAAAGATTTTTTTTCTGGCCAGGCACGCTGGCTCACTCCTATAATCACAATACCAAAGTATTGTGATCCAAAGCCAAGGCGGGTGGATCACTTGAGGTCAGGAGTTCGAGATCAGCCTGGCCAACATGGTGAAACCTGTTTCTACCAAAAATACAAAAATTAGCTGGGCGTGGTGGCTGGCACATGCCTGTAATCCTAGCTGCCTGAGAGGCTGAGGTGAGAGAATCGACTGAACCCAGGAGGCAGAGATTGCTGTCAGCCAAGATCAGGCCACTGCACTCCTGCCTTGGCAACAGAGGGAGACCCTGTCTCAAAAAAAGGTTGGGGGGGTGGTATTTTTCTTTTTCTTCCTGGACTTTGAAAGTATGTTTTGTTTCTCTTCTTTTTCTTCAGGTTAAAAAGGCCTTCTTTGCCTTGGTAGCCAATGGTGTCCGAGCAGCGCCCCTGTGGGAGAGTAAAAAGCAAAGTTTTGTAGGTAAGCAGTGCGGGCCTGACGAAGCGGAAGCCTCATAAGCAGAAAGCCTAAAGTACTTTAATAGATGCTGGTTTGGAATTCAACCTAGTAAACATGTTTCCAAGTTAAAGAACATTCTTGCTGGCAGCGCACAGTGGCTCATGCCTGTAATCTCAGCACTTTGGGAGGCCAAGCAAGGAGATCGCTTGAGCCCAGCAGTTGGAGGCCAGGCTGGGCGACATAGCAAGACCTCATCTCTACAAAAACATACAAAAATTAGCTACTCAGGAGGCCGAGGTGGGAGGATCACTTGAGCCCACCCAGGAGGTCAAGGCTGCATTGAGCCATGATCACTGCACTCTGCTCTAGCCTGGATGACAGAGTAAGAGACCCTGTCAAAAAAAAAAAAAAGAATATCCCTGCTTTTACATACTCGGTAAGAAGATGGAACTGCTAGCTGTCAGTAAGGTCAAAATACTGTTGTACTTTTTTTTTTTTTTTTTGCCTCTTCATTGAGAACACACACTATTCTAACTTTTACGGAGCATTGTTGTTGTTGAATCTCTCTTAATTTAGCAACTTCTTGGCTCTCTGAAGAGCTTATATGTCTTTACCAGCCCAATGAGCACAGCCACATAGGATGCCACAGTCAGATGGGAGCCGGCACCCGCTTTGGGCCGTCTGGGCAGATGGCATTCCTGGGCCCCGCACCTGTCTTGCTGGTGCACACCTTTTTGACAGGGCAAATAAGAAGATGTAAACATGACTGATGTCTCTGCTAGACCACTGTTAAACTATTAGAACTGCTGTGTAACTTTTACAATCTCTAAGTGCCATCGTTACTGATGAATCACAGCAGGCACTGACATTGTCTCTCTTAGTGTTCTTCACATTATTTTGAAATGACCTGTTATGTCTGCCTCTGGGTTTTAATTTCATCAGGGAAGAAGTTCATCTTTCTCATCCCTCTCATCCTGGTGTCTAGCACATCAAAAGCACTCAATCAATGGCAACTCTTTGTTAAAACCATTATTTTTAGAATGCTTCTCAGGAAACGATCCAAGCGCCCAGAATTATCATGTTTCTGAAGCTTATTGAATACTTTATCTTAAAGTATTTAAAATTATTTACACGTAACTGCAGTTCTTTTTTCAAATTTGTACCTATTAATAAGTTTTCTCTGATTGATTTGCCAAATTCTGTGGTTAGTTCCAAGGTACTTACTATCAGGTTTAATTTCAGCTAAATCCATATATCCAGTTCAGTATACAAAATTAACACATCAATAGTTTTAAATAACATATTAAACTCTGTTTGATATTTTAAAAGTATATTTTATAAGCTCTTCTAGTATATATTCTAGACTTGTCATTTGAAATTTTTTAAATGTTTTCATAGTTTTATTTTTAACATACAATTCTTTGTTCCAGGAATGCTAACAATTACAGATTTCATAAATATACTACACAGATACTATAAATCACCTATGGTAAGTGGCACCAGTTCCTGTGTCAGTAGTTGGAGCCGTACGTATCTGTGTATGTGTATAGATATATGTGTGTATTTTCAGATTTTTAATGTTTTCGGTTTTTTCTTTTTTGGTATGGAGTGGTGGTGGTGGTGGATTTTCCAAATATATATAATGTGCAGGGAACTCCAGTATAAAACTATATTTACCAGAAGCCATATATTTGAAACTCAAAGAAGGCATTCTCAGGAGAAATAAAAGGAAATAGACCCTTTATTCAGCTTTTGGAATTCCTTGGCTTAGCAGAATTCTACATATTTATTACCTTGATATTCTGTAAGTTTCGCTGACCTCTGCAGGCCTGTTGATGTGATAGAGCTTAATTCAGTTATCCCAGCAATTTCAGATCAAGAATTATATGTACTTTGTGATTTTAAAGAAGAAAAAAATGAGTCATTAAAATTAAATAAATTCAGTTTTGACATTTTCCTGTTAATGAGGAAAAGACGGCTACTGGCTGATTTTAGCAGCAGAACTCTCTGGTCCCTGGTTCAATGGTTCTGAGAGAGCACAACTTAAAACCCACTTTCATCCTTCATCTGACTCCGTGATATCTGAGATTCGGCCTGCTTGGTTTTGAGTTTCTGGTTTCTGTTTGTTCATGAGGGTGGGGAAGGACAGAATTGCCTACTCTATTTAACTAGCCCTATTTGGGGTACCTAAAAGACATAAGTTAATCCTATTAGTACTGCTTTATGTGTAATGCTCAGGATTGCCCGTTAATTAAATTCTTACATAAAACACAAAAATGACACGCTCTCGCCAGGCACAGGGACTCACGCCTGTAATCCCAGCACTTTGGGAGACCGAGGTGGGTGGATCACTTGAGGTCAGGAGTTTGAGACCAGCCTGGCCAACATGGTGAAATGCCATCTCTACTAAAAATACAAAAATTAGCTGGGAGTGGTGGCAGGTGCCTGTAATCCCAGGTACTCCAGAGCTGAGGCACAAGAATCTCTTGAACCTGGGAGATCGAGGTTGCAGTGAGCCAAGATGGTGCCATTGCACTACAGCCTGAGCGACAGGGGGAGACTCCATCTCAGACAAAACAAAGCAAAACAAAAACCATACACTCAGGAAGTTTTACCAAAGACACTGTAAATATCCTATATTTATTTCCCATGAAATGTATTATTTCTTAACTATTACCTATGCAAGTGAATACTGGCTTTCCTTATAATGATCATATCTCTGCTTTTGAATTAGCAAAATCAGCATAAGTATGATTTTTGAATAGATGGATTTTTACAAAATGCAGCAAATCCCATATAAGAAATCTCAGCAGTAGATTATGAAATCAAAATTGCTGAAAAGCAGTTATATCTAAATATGCAGCCCAAAGCTTTTCTTAATACATGTAGATGCAGGCAGGCATGGTGGCTCACACCTATAGTCCCAGCACTTTGGGAAGCCAAGGAGGGTGTATCACTTGAGCCCAGGAGTTTGAGATCAACCAGGCAACATGGTGAAACCCCATCTCTAAAAAAAAAAAAGACCCACAAAAATTAGCCAAGCATGGTGGCATGCATCTGTAGTCCAAGCTACTCAGGAGGCTAAGTTGGGAGGATTGCTTAAGCCTGGGAGGTTGAGGTTGCAGTGAGCCATGATCACACTTGTGCAAATCCAGCCTGGGTGACAGAATGAGACCTTGTCTCCATAAAAAAAATAAAAAAATACTTGCAGATACATTTTTTTCTCCATATCTCATCTCATTTTCTCGCTCTTTGTTTTTCTTTTTTTAAGGCAGAGCCTCACTCTGTCACCTAGGCTGGAGTACAGTGGCACCATCTTGGCTCACCGCAGCCTCACCCTCCTGGGTTCAAGTGATTCTTCTGCCTCAGCCTCCCGAGTAGCTGGGATTACAGGTGCCCTCTACCATGCCTGGCTAATTTTTGTATTTTTAGTAGAGATAAGATCTCACTATGTTGGCCAGGCTGGTCTCGAATTCATGACCTCAGGTGATCTGCCCATCTCAATCTCCCAAAGTGCTGGGATTACAGGCGTGAGCCAGCTCACCCGGCCACCTCATTTTCTAATTGTGAATAGAAAATGCTATTATAAAAGCTATGTTTTGTTTCATTTTACAAATATTTTTCTATGTTTATGTATATTTATAAATAAGAATTTCTTTATTTGCAGGTACAGATTTATGAATTAGAGGAACATAAAATTGAAACATGGAGGGGTAAGCACTATTGGATGTTAAAAATCTTAGTATGGGGAAAGCATGCTTAGGATGTAAAGTATGTTTTGCTTTTGCAGATCCTTTTCTCTCTGCTCCATAAAATGTTATTTAAAGCATTCTCTTTATTTCTACCTTAATTTTGATAGTATACTACTGTACTAAAGCTCGACAATATAAGTATTGTCCATTCTGCCTATAGACATGTATAGGACACCTGCAGCAGCCAAGGCCTCATCCTAGGGCCAGGAATGTGAAGATGAATGAGCTAACCAAGCCCCACCTCACTGCCTACAGTGGGGCCACCGAACCAAGCCCCACCTCACTGCCTACAGTGGGGCCACCGTTCACTACTAAGTCTAACCCTCAGAGGTTTGCCTTGGCATTTAAAAATGCATCAGAGGCTGGGTGTGGTGGCTCATGCCTGTAATCCCAGCGTTTTGGGAGGCCGAGGCAGGTAGATCACAAGGTCAAGAGATCGAGACCATCCTGGCCAACATGGTAAAACCCCGTCTCTACTAAAAATACAAAAATTAGCTGGGTGTGGTGGCTCGCGCCTGTAGTCCCAGCTAGTCAATAGTCAGGAGGCTGAGGCAGGAGAATTGCTGGAACCCGGGGTTTGCAGTGAGGTTGCAGTGAGCCGAGACTGTGCCACTGCACTCCAGCCTTGGCAACACAGCGAGACCCTGTCTCACCAAAAAAAAAAAAAAAAAAATCATCAGAGGCATGCCTAACTTTAACAAAAGCAAGCATCTGTTCTTATTTAAACCTAATCATTGTTTCTTTACAAATTATGGAGAAACTTAAGACAAATGAACCTCAAACTAGATGGTTTGGAGCAAATAACATGGGAGTAATTTGAAGATCATGTTCTTTTGTTTGTCACACTGAAATTCACCCTGAAAAATCATGATACTCTTTTCTGCCATGGAACCACTTTTTTAAAGTCCCATTTCATGATTGTGAAGGTGGTGGTCCCACTGAGACTTGTCCTCGCAGGCTGATGGAGAGGACCAGAGGTGGGAATCACAGCAAACTCAGTCTTCTGTAGCACCTGAGCCTTTGTACTAGGGTGCTCAAGGAAATGCCAGTAGAAATGGAGGGGCCAACTAAAGGAAAACTTTGAATTCAAAATGGAAGAGTTTGGTTCTGTGCTTCCCATAATATGCTTGATATGAGAAACAACCTTTGTAACTGGCTGTGAAATCAGAACACATCTTGGAGTTCTCTTACACCCCAGGGGCCCTTTCAATTCCATATGATTTAGAAGTTTCACTGAATGATAGATTTGGTTTATTACGGCTTTGTCAAACCAAGCTAAACAAATTTGGCATGGGATCTGTACGGCCTGTTCTCCAGTGATTGTGTAACACCAAGACAGATACTACTTACCCAGTTCTACTGTGCGAGTACCGTTAGGCCGAGGTTTAAGTATACTTACATTTTGACATTACCTGGTATTTGGTAGTAATAATAATGCCAAAATAGTCTTAAATGCCTTCTGCATAGAAACTTTCGTAAAGCAAAGCTGGGCATGGTGGCTCACAGCTGTAATCACAGCACTTTGACAGGCCAAGGCAGATGGATCACTTGAGATCAGGAGTTCAAGACCAGCCTGTCCAACATGGTAAAACCCCATCTATACTAAAAATACAAAAAGTAGCCAGGCATGGTGGTGTACGCTTGTAGTCCCAGCTACTCAGGAGGCTGAGGCAGGAGAGGCCGAGCTGGGGAGGCAGAGGTTGCAAGAGCTAAGATGGCACCACTGCACTCCACCCTGGGTGACAGAGCGAGACTCTGTCTCAAAAAAAAAAAAAAAAATTAGGCTGGGCACGGTTCCTCATGCCTATAATCCCAGCACTTTGCGAGGCTGAAGCAGGTGGATCACTTGAGGTCAGAAGTTGGAGACCAGCCTGGACAACATGGTGAAACCCCATCTCTACTAAAAATTAAAAAAAAAAAAATTAGCCGGTTGTGATGGTGAGCACCTGTAAATCCCAGGCTGCTTGGGTGGCTGAGGTGGGAGAATCGCTTGAACCCGGGAGGCAGAGGTTGCAGTGAGCTCAGATCATGCCATTGCACCCCAGCCTGGGTGACAGAGTGAGACTCCATCTCAGAAAAAAAGAAACCTTGGAAAAGCAAATTAATATTGCAGTTGATATCTTTAGAAAAAAACAATTTTGATATGCTGGAAATTTGCCCATAATGCAGTAGGTTTTGAGCATCAGTTTGGTAAAATAATAAGAATATTTAAAGAACAAAGTTTGTTATAGCAGATTTTATCTTGTAACTTATGGAAATTACTTTTAAAAGATTTCATAATTGCTTCATTTCTTGAGAGTAAAAAGAACTTGATAGCATTCTAGTGACCTCTGCTGGTATTGCTCTTTTTTCAGATTTCCTGATTTTATAAATACCTACTGTCACATCGATTTTTAATATTTAATTTTTCTTTAAATGCAACATCCTGAAAACAGTTTGGAAGTTGTTTAAAGTAGCCATAATTGTAATTAACACAGGAGTTTTAGGCAAATTAAATTTCTTTTGATTTGAGTTTTTAATTCAAACTATTAACGGTAAACTAAAGGGTTTGAATTTATGTAAAAATTGCAAACACCAAATGTGTTACTAACTGCGTGTTTTCTTTCTATAAATGCAGAGCTTTATTTACAAGAAACATTTAAGCCTTTAGTGAATATATCTCCAGATGCAAGGTAAACTTGTTTTTTTTTTTTTTCTTTGAAAACATTCATTCAGATGTATGTGTTTTATTACCATGATAGAAACAAACATGTTCTTCATTCTAAACAGGGACTGTCTCCTTAATTCCAGCTATACTGCATACATTCAGTACATTTAGCAACACTAGAAAAATCATAGCCATTGCTGGTGCTAAGCATTGATAATGGACTATCATACTCAACCATCATGAAGGTCTCAACCAGGCTGGGGGGCATGCTGAAATTGCAGATTCCTGGGCTTTTACAAAACCCTGACCTGCTCTAAATCAGGATAGTGCCCAGGAATACGCATTTAAACAGCTCCCCTGGCAGCTCTGCTCCACACTGCTGTTTAAACATCAGTGTATGCTGGACGTTGGTTCAGATGTGGTCAGAGCGTGAGCTACCTCCTCTGTAGTCTCCTGGCCCATCCTTTTTTCTCCAAGCCTTCTGGCTTGGCTCTGATACATTTCCACGTTTGTGTAAAAGCATCTTTCAAACTCAAGTCCACTACGGGAAAGATTAAAATATTTATTTTATTTCCAAATCCTAACAAGGAGATATACCCACCTTCTTACTGGCAGTCCCAGGAGAGGGACCAAGTAGAACAGAAATGTTGACCCTACATTATCTATCAGCCAGACTGGCCCAGAGGAGACCCAGTTCACCCGCTCACCAGTGAGGGGCTTGCTGCTACAGCTGTGCTCTCTTGCTAGTAGGATGCATCTGTTGGCTTTCCCAAGGATTTAGGTTTTATTGTCTTTCAAATAAAATCACTAAATGCACTCTTAAAAAAACTCCCCTTCCTGGCTGGGCAAAAGGGCTCTTGCCTCTAATCCCAGCACTGTGGGAGGCCGTGGTGAGTGGATCACTTGAGCTCAGGAACTGGAGAGCAGCCTGGGCAACATGGCAAAACCCCACGTGTACAGAAAAATAAAGGTGATGCATGCCTGTAGTCCCAGCTACTCAAGAGGCTGAGGTGGGAGGATCACCTGAGCCTGTGAGGTCAAGGCTGCCGCGAGCAATGACAGCAGGCAACAGAGCTAGACCCGGTCTCAAAAATAAACAACAAAAAATCTCTTCTAGAGCTTTGTAGCTTGCACTTGTACTTAGATATGCTAACGTAGATTGTGAAAAATGAAAAATTGGCTGAGATCTCTAATTTAAAACTCTTCCAAAACACTGTTATTATTGTAATAATAAAAACGCTGGAAGTGCTTTGAGGCAGGGGTAGTCCGTGTTCTGATTATTCTTTAAAGCCTCCTAACAACTCCAATGACTTTTCCCACAGCCTCTTCGATGCTGTATACTCCTTGATCAAAAATAAAATCCACAGATTGCCAGTTATTGACCCTATCAGTGGGAATGCACTTTATATACTTACCCACAAAAGAATCCTCAAGTTCCTCCAGCTCTTTGTAAGTAGTTTTTAGCGTTTCTAAAGACACAGTTGCATTTGCTTAAGTAATTCGGCTCCTGTTATCCTCAATAGAAGAAATTGTTAGTTTTGAGATCTCCTTTTCTAAACTTCAGTTTCTCAACTTCTATCCGAATTGTACATTCTTAAAGTTGATTCCAGTTTAAAAGCAATCACTTTTCGATGCAAGTGTCAAAATAATTTTAAAAACAAAATTCGGCATTCTCTATTTAAATTGAAACATTTTGTCACCAACACATGAGGGGAAATATGGCAAACTGAAGTCAGTCTAATTAAGGACTGCTGTACATGATAAATTGAACCAATATCTAGAGCAAAAAGTGCTTTATGTTTTTATTGGTGTCACGGTTTTAGAAACGTGTTCCAAAAAATACTGTCCTCAAGATTATCTTATAATAAACTGCAGCAGTGATAGAAAAACCCAAAGCAAATAAAATTTTGGCAAGAAAATACCATGTTGGTCCAAATTAGGCTTGTATTACCTGTAGATTTTCTCAGCTACTTGAAATGAGCTGGCTCCCTACTCACCCAGAACTTTGAGCCTGTTTGGTTGGAAGCATTATAAAAGTCTCTGGAAGGACAGAACATTTATAAGAGGTTTTTATGTTTTCCTTTAATTACATGCACAGAATTTGAGGTTATAAGTCACCAGTCAAATAGACCCAGTAGGAGGTCCTAATAGTTCTGAAGAGTTTTTTTTTTTTTTAAAGAATGTAACAGACTTATTAAAAATCTACTACAAATTAGCCTTCCCATTTTCCTCCCCAAGACTTCACATAAGGACCTAAAATAGCATTCCAGTGCTGTGTGAAGGAGCGGAAGCTCCTCCCCTGGAGGCTTCCTTGAGGAACCACTTTTGCTGACAGCAGCACAGGGGGCTTAGTGATTCAGAGAAATACCTTGTCCATCAACCTAGTCTTAAATTGTAATCGTTTCCATGTATAAATAGCATTTATTTAACCATGCTGTGTTAAGAAAGAAGGTAGAGTAATTTACAAAAAACAGAAGTCTGCTGTTTAAGAAGGGAGATAATCTAGGAAAAACGGATTAGGGATGCATCTGTATTGCTTATCAGCCTTCACATCCCAGAATGCAGTCGCTTTAGTAGTGGAAGTTTTATAGGAACAGAGGGAGCACAGAGTGGGAAGCTTGAGTTCAAGGCCCCCATATGCCAGGCCTGTGGCTCACTTAATCCTTAGAGTAATCATTTTTAAATAATATTAATCGTGAGAGCTGATTACTGTACGTCCGGCACTGTTCTAAGCACTTTACATAATAAATCTCATCCTCGCTACTACCATGTCAGATAGGTATTTTTGTTAATCCTATTTTATACAGATGCAGCTAAGAGAGGTTAAGTAGCTTTGCAAGGTTGCGTGGCTGGGGAGCGGTAGAGCCAGCATCCCCGGCGGCGAGTGCTCATTCCCAACGCTCTCCTCCACGCAGGGGCCCTGGGAGGGAGGCGTTCGCACACCTTGGGCACACCAGACGGCTGACTGGGAAACCTGCCCCAAGTCACGTGGATATGAAGTGGCAGATTTCAAACCTGGGAGTCTCTCTGACTCCCAAACCATTCTGCCCGTGTGCGGTTGCACAAGAGGGAGTAGAAGCATGAGATCGTTCTTTTGCAGAGCTGCTTTAGATGTTTATCTTCTATAAAAAGGAGAGGAAGCTGCCTCTGCCCAGTACTGCCTCATATTTGGGCCAATATGGTAATTAGAATCATGCTACCAGAATATTCAGCTAACTAAAGGTTTTCAGATAAAAATATATAGATTTAAATAAAGAAATTTCAGAGCCTGATTTTTACTGAATTGTGAGTTCATTTTCTGAGAAAAAAAAAAGGAGCATTACCCTTCAAGACACAGGAAAATTAGCCTAGGCATATAGTATGCAGCAGGGAATTCTCCTATATTGAGATGGACTGGATGACCTAATAGGTCTTTCTTTTTTTTCTCTAAATTTCTAGGATCTCATGATTTGAATATTGATGAACTCTTTGACTTGAACATTTTATTTCTTCTAATTGTTCATCTTTTCCTGATAATTATAAGGTACACCAGGAGGATGGAATCAACTATACCCTTTATAAAAGGTGGATTTTTGAAACCATAGACCTTATTTCGTTATACTCAAACATGATCCTAGACTTTTCTGACTTACCCCTCCTCCTTTCAAACAACCATGAAAAGAATTTTTAAAGATTCTCTTAATTCTGTTCAGCTGGCTTGTTTTTTGTTCCTAGTAGACAAGAATTGGAGCCCGCCAAGGAGAATTCAGGATGTAGAGGCGGGTGGTGTGGCGACTAGCTTAGCAGTGGCTCAGACAGCTGCCGTCAAAGGCTTTGGGTTTGGAAGTATGTGGGTTCTTAATAAATATTACCTGATCCTGACAGCAGGACCAGGAATTTAACATGAACAAATAAGAATAAAGGATTTAATTCTTGGTGGCTTACAGGTCTTAATTTCCCAAATAGACCTGTTCTTCCCTTGTTCTATACACGTTTTTAGTGAAGAGGAGAAGGAAAAAGTGTTACAATGTTAATGCTTTGTGATAGCTCCTAGTAGTTAAATGTAAGCATAGACATACAAACTGGTTCCAGCAAAAGATACAGTTCTTCGTAATTTTCTCATGTTAATTCAGACATCCAGGTAGACTGTTAGAAAAACCTAACTTTAATTGTTGGATTGTAGTTTTTCATTCAAATCTGGATATTTGAACTTGAAAAGATTATGTTCTGGATCTAGAACATTTGTGTTTCTCTTCCTGTTTAGATGTGTGATATGCCAAAGCCTGCCTTCATGAAGCAGAACCTGGATGAGCTGGGAATAGGAACGTACCACAACATTGCCTTCATACACCCAGACACTCCCATCATTAAAGCCTTGAACATATTTGTGGAGAGACGAATATCAGCTCTGCCTGTTGTGGATGAGTCAGGTTTGTGTGTTTGCCCATGGCAGTCGGACAGAAATAATTGTTTATCTCAGGGTGCAATTATTGTGAGATGACCTGGCATAGGAGATACGTGGGGGAAATGAAATTTAGATATGGCAAATAAATTCAGCACCGGGGGCACACAAGATGATAAAAATGTTTTATTGGGTTATTTTCATATGTCCATTAAAATATGATATCCATTTAAGTTTCCATTTAAAAATAGACAAGGTTATTTATCAGTGTTGAACTTTTAGTAATTATGTAGTTAAAACTGATTTTAAATGAGTTTCTTTTTGTTCCTTAAGACATATTTCTAACATGTATTTTTCATTTTTAGGAAAAGTTGTAGATATTTATTCCAAATTTGATGTAATTGTAAGTATTTTACTTTTGTTCAGTCTGTCACCTAGAATGCATTTTAAACATTGATGTAATGTGTTTTTGTTTTTCTCTTGTTTCTTAATTTAACAATTTTTAACCTTTTAGGGTATGAGTATGTTATCAGAGAATTCTGTAGACCTCCCATAGTAGTTGCACTTTTAATATGCGCTGGTTTCACATTATGGATAGCATTTTACAGTCCTTTGTCTTTACAATACATGCATATTTCCCTACTGCCACAGCCTGTGGGTGTATTTTAAAGGTTCTCACTTCCGCGTAGGAGGCATGGTTTAATCCCCTCTAGGCGCATGCGCAGTGCGCACGTGGACTCACGGCTCCTTTGCCACGCGCGTACATCCCACTGCTTACTGATGGGGAGCCACGGCTCTAAAGAAGAAAAGGGAACTGCCATAGCCCCAGGGGTGCACGCCATTTTTTGCCACAATTCTGACCCCACCTTAAACATTCTTTTGCAGCTGTGTCAAACCCTTTGCTTCATGCTGTTCTGTTTAATGTAATAGCCACCGAGAAATATGCTGATTGGCGTTCTGGTTGAGTGGGACCCGCTAAAATGAGTGAGAGCCCGATGAGGCACCTGGATCTATGGGGCTCACCAGGCCTGTTCTTCCTCCATGCTTGCCTAATCCCCATGCATCCCCCAGAGCCTTCCCAGCAGAAGCCTTGTTGCCCACAGAGTTCATTGAGAACGTTCATTGCTGCAGCTTCTCCAACCCTGTGGCACTCACCACCCTTTACAGATGTCAGCCCACCTTGCCGGAGATTTTATTCATGCGTGGTAGAGAGCATTGGAGGGTAAAAATGGGGGGCAATCTTTGGCAGGATACGCTATCAAAATTTAACAATGTTGCCTCATAAGGAAGGTAGACCTCATAATGCGATATCCTTAATTATGACTGATAACGCTGATGAAATAGTCCCAACGGGGTGTTATAAGCCAGGACGAACTTCTGATGTACATTGGTACCAAATTCAGGTAAACATTGAAGTTTTTAGAAATCAGGTTTTCTTAAGCTCACTAATTTTGGTCATTGAAGTGCACTGAAGTGAAAGGATATAATTTATTCTCTTGCTTTATTACAGAATCTTGCTGCTGAGAAAACATACAATAACCTAGATATCACAGTGACCCAGGCCCTTCAGCACCGTTCACAGTATTTTGAAGGTGTTGTAAAGTGCAATAAGCTGGAAATACTGGAGACCATTGTGGACAGAATAGTGAGGGCGGAGGTGAGACGGCTCTCCCAGTCCTGCTCCCCCAAAGTCTACTGCAACATCCCCAGTAGTGAATGTTGCTTCAGGCTACCAAAGCCCGAGCCCAGCAAGGCAGCATCCAGGTTCAGTGGGATGGGATTCTCCCCTGTCCCCAAACCTGGTACACTACGTGGCACACAGTAGGTGATCTCTAAAGGTTTGTTGAACTGAAATGAATTAATGGAAAAGTCCTGATATCATAGCTGAGTCAAATAAGCTGGTAAGATACGTTCATAGTTTATATATGATGATAGCCTGGACAACCTAATAAGACCTTGTCTCTACTAAAAATCAAAATGAATTAGCTGAGCATGGCGGCATGGACCTGTAGTCATAGCTGACAGGGAAGCTCAGGAAGGAGGATCGCTAGAGCCCAAGACTTGAGGTTTCAGTGAGCCGTGGTGGTGCCATACACTCCAGCCTGGGCAACAGAGCAAGACCCTGCCTCTAAATACACCTATATATCTATATCTCTAGATACATTTTGTTTTGAGAAAACAAAAGCCGTCCCAGAAGCTTTAAGTTTGAGTATTTATAAATTCAAAGTTTAAAGTGTGTAATATATATTTTAACAAAGTGAATGATAAATCGATAAAATAAAACCTAATTTTCTCTCTTCCTACCAGTATCTCTCTTTCCTGAATTAGATAAATAGCAAATAATCTAATAACTCCCAGTTTCCTGCACCTCAGCACTCAGATTTCCTAAGACTTCACTGCTTATAGGATTTTCAAATATACTTTGCATCACACCCTAAATAAAAGACCAGAGAAGGTAAGCACAGTGGCCCATGCCTGTAATCCTAGCACTTTGGGAGGCCGAGGCAGGAGGATCGCTTGAGCCAGAAGTTCTAGACCAGCCTTGGCAACACAACAAGACCCTGTTTCTACAGAAAATGAAAAAAAGAAAAAACCAGCCAGTCATGGTAGTATATGCCTGAAGTCCCAGCTACTCAGGAGGTGGAGGCTGAGGATCACCTGAGCTTGGGAGTTCTAGATTGCAGTGTGCAGAGGTCACGTCACTGTTCAGTATACCCATTCCCAAAATAATTTCTTCTTTTAGTAGTCAGGAATAGAAATATTATCCTGTTTGTCATTTTTTAGGATGGAAGGGTGCAACTCTGTTCCTTCTGGAACAGCTAATTTGGCAAAACTAATTTTTAAGTATACGTCTGTTTTGATATTGCTATAAATATAAGAGTACAGTCCAAGAAGCAAAGTACCTGATCACTTTTTAGGCTAATAACGGGCAAGCTTAACTTGCTTTCTGAAAGTTACGTGTAAAGTAATGCATTGCCTCAAAGCACGGCTGTCCCTTTCAAGAGCCATTGTTATCAGAAATCCACCAGCCCTCCTTTAATTGTACGTTCAGAAATGCCACCCTTTCTGTCATCGTGTGAGTTGACCCTCCCAGCTTCAACGTTGATGGCTTCTAGCATGCTTCACTGGAACTGTCCGATTTCTGTTTCAATTTAGTATCCATCACTGCTTGTTTTCCAAAGGATTTTAACTGAGTTAGGAATACATCTTGACTCTTTTCCCTATTAAAATTCTTTCAAGGCAGACATGGTGACTCACACCTGTAACCGCAGCACTTTGACAGGGCAAGGCAGGCAGATCACTTGAGGTCAGGAGTTCGAGACCAGCCTAGCCAACATGGTGAAACCCTGTCTCTACTAAAAATAGAAAAATTAGCCTGGCATGCTGGTGGGTACCTGTAATCTCAGCAACTTGGGAGGCTAAGGCAGGATAATCACCTGAATCCTGGAGGCAGAGATTGTGCCACTGTACGCCAGCTTGGGTGACAGAGCAAGACTCCATCTTTTAAAAAACTAAAATAAATCCTTCACAAGATGATGTCTCACAGGGGGACCAAAAAATATAGTTTTTTAGCATTAATGTAGCCAGGAGAAGGGTGTACAGTATCAGTGATGGTTCCATTTATTTATATGACATAAACATAGCACTAACTTTTAGGTATCTACAGCAAGGAACATACATAAGTTTGACTCAGCAGCAGATGACAAGAAAACATCTGGGGAGTTATTTCTCTCTGAGAGAACAACTTAATTCTCGGGGTGAGATGGTTTCCCTTGACCTTCGGAGTTCAGAAAATAACTGTTTCATATCCACTATTGAAAGTGACCAATAAAATGTGTTGAGTGTAGAAGACAAATGTAAACTATCATTTTAATGTGTGATTACAGCTAGCAAATAATTGTGCTGTGTTATATCACATGGTTGCTGATGAGCCGAAAGCTTTTTTAGAGAAACGTTTAAAAGAAATTTATGTTGACTGCCACGAGAAAGACGACTGAGCCATTATTGTTGTTGTTATTTCCCTAAAGCAAGCTATGACAGAAACATCACCAACACAGTATCCATTGAGACAAAATACAAAAACTGGATATCCCCCTCTTCCCACCTCCTTCCTATGTCCCTGTTTTCTAACAGGGGTATTGCTGTTTAATACAGAAAGGGTCTCCCAGGACGCAGCTGGTGTAGGGCTGCCTTCACCCAAGTTCTGAAGCTTTTTTTTTTTTTTTTTTTTTTTTTTTTTTTTTTTTAAGATAGAATCTCACTCTGTTACTCAGGCTGGAGTGCAATGACACTATCTCAGCTCACCACAGCCTCCACCTCCCAGGTTCAGGCGATTCTCCTGCCTTGACCTCCCAAGTAGCTGGGATTACAGCCATGCACCACCACACCCAGCTAATTTTGTATTTTTAGTAAAGACGGGGTTTCTCCATGTTGGCCAAGCTGGTCTCAAACTTCCGACCTCAGTTGATCTGCCCGCCTCCCAAAAGTGCTGGGATTACAGGCGTGAGCCACCATGCCCGGCCTGAAGCTTTTAAGAGAGTAGCGACCCTGCTCCCCTCCTGCCAGTGAAACACCTGTTGCAGAAACACCTCAAAGTGCTCTCCAGTCACTCATCAGAGGTTTCAGAGTAGAAAACTAGAGATGAACGTAATCTATCCCATTTCATTAGAGCTCATCTGTCGTCTCAAATACAATTCTTAATATGTGAACTTCATAGAGAAGATACAGAAAATAAAACCCTTCTAAGAGCCATGACCTTGACCTTGTTTGTTCGTTTCTGCCATCATCTGGACTTCTTTCCCATGTATTAATAAGACAAGCATCTGACAGTTATTAGAAACTGATATACAACTTTTAAAAATTAAAACTGTTATGTTTAAGAGCATATTATAGCTACGTTGTGCTTTGTGTTTTGCGTTGTATGTTTTCTATATTAATATTTTGAAAATCGAAAACTCAGCAGGGCAGAGCTAGCTCATTTTTCTTAAAAGTAACCAGGCAAATCATATAATTAGAGACAACAGATAGAGAGTTTTCTCCTCTTTCCGTCTCCTGCCTGTGTCCGTTTTTTCCACCGGGGGTGTGACTGTTCAGTACAGACTGGGTCTTCCAGGTAATCAGACGGTGACACATTGAACATCAGAGCCCAAGGCTGTTGTATGGTTCTGGCTGCTGCTACTTTCCCTCATTTATGGGATGTGTGTTACTTTTGCCTTTTTTTGAGACAAGGTCTCACTCTGTCACCCAGGCTGGAATGCAGTGGTGTGATCTTGGCTCACTGCAACCTCCACTTCCCAGGCCCAAGCAATCCTCCCACCTCAGCCTCCCAAGTAACTGGGACCACAGATGCGCACTAGCACACCCAGCCACTTTCTAATTTTTTGTAGAGCGAAGTCTCACTATATTGCCCAGGCTGGAGGGATGTGTTTATTGTATAAATACATGACATGACATTTTTTCTAATGTCCATTTTAAACCTTTTTTTTTCTTTCTGCCTCTGTAAGCTGCATTAAACCTTTTTTTTAAATTTTGATTTTCAGATATCCTGCTTTTCTCTTTGCAGGTCCATCGGCTGGTGGTGGTGAATGAAGCAGATAGTATCGTGGGTATTATTTCCCTGTCGGACATTCTGCAAGCCCTGATCCTCACACCGGCAGGTAAAATGCTGGCCTCTGACCTTTGCCGTCAGTGTCTGGGAAGGGTGGGAGGTAGACCAGGAAGCGCAGCATTTAAAGCACCATTTCTCCACCACCCACCCACAGAGCAGGGCTTTCGTATGCGGCGTTGTAAACTGTTTTCGTTTTCCTTTCAGTTTGGAAAAGTGTTCTGCATGAGTGAGAAAAGTGTATAGAATGTATTCTAACTTAAGAGCATCCTGTCGAGGTCCAGTGGTCCCTAAATGACTTGGAAGCCATTGCCATGTTCATCCAAACCTTTTCCACTAAAAAGATCTTTTCAGGGCCGAGCAGGGTGGCTCACACCTACAATCCCAGCACTTTGGGAGGCCAAGGCGGGCTGATCACCAAGGTCAGGAGTTCAAGACCATCCTGGCCAACATGGTGAAACCCCATCTCTACTAAAAATGCAAAATAAGCCAGGCGTGGTGGCAGATGCCTATAATCCTAGCCCCTTGGTAGGCTGAGGCAGGAGAATGGCTTGAACCCGGGATTTGGAGGTTTCAGTGAGCCGAGCTTGCGCCATTGCACTCCCGCCTGGGGGACAAGAGCGAGACTTCGTCTCAAAAAAAAAATCTCTTCAGTTGTGCTTTGTGGGAGAACTGGTAACCAGAAACATATAGGGAAGGTCATTGGCTTCTAACTAATGACAGCTTCATCTTTCCTTAAAGAGAAAAAAAAAAAAAAACTTACGTTTTGAGTAGATAAAACAGAATATCTAAACACAACCTGTTACTAACATTGTACAGACAGGGTTTCACCATGTTGGCCAGACTGTTCTCAAATTCCTGACCTTGTGATCCGCCCACCTCAGCCTCCCAAAGTGCTGGGATTACAGGCATGAGCCACTGTGTTCGGTCCAGAAATTACATTAACTTTCAAATGGAGTATGGATAAACTCATTTTCTGACAGATTCACTTTGAGAAAGCCCCCAGAGTCTCCGTGGGGAGCAGAGAGAAACGGAGAGGGCTTTAGACAAGAGGAGCTGGCCTCCTCTCATTTCACCCACTCAGTAGTGAGAGGTGGGCTTCAAAGTTCTTAACACCACCAGCCCTTCCTTCCTCCCTTCCTTCTTCCTCTTCTTCCCATCCCTCCACATCCCCAGCCCCAGTCAAATATAAACAACCCAGCCCTGGTCAGGGCCACGTGGACCCGATGTGGGAGTAAGCAGAATGCCCTTTGAACTCTCAGAAATCAAAGATTAAATGGTGTGTATACTACAGTATTGATTTTTCTTTAGTTCAGAAATTTCTGCTAAGACTAGTTTTTACAATTAGCCTGTAACCCAAAAATACCTGCCCTAAAGGAATCTTCACCACCTGCAAGAAACATGTCTTATTCACTAAATGAGAACACCATGAGAAATTCCAGGACAGCAGTGATTTTTCTGAGGTGGTCCTCAGACCAAGCATCGTCACCGTCACCTGGAATTTATTAGAAAATGTTCACGTTGGGGTCTGCCCCATATCCGTAGCTGGATTGGAATTCCTTATTATACCGCATATACAACACGATTTGTTGAGGAAAACATTCCGTGTTACTAATAACTGGATTCCAAGTGAACTTTTGGAGTGGAACTCTGGGAATGCCTGCATCTGCTCGACAGCCACTGACCTGCTTCCGTGGGCAGGAGACAGGATGCCACATGCAGCAAACGTGAGGCCCCACTGTGAGGCCAAGCCCCAGCCGCCCCACCTGAGCACTGTCTGAATGTAGGCAAGTCACTCACCTCCTTCAGCCCCAGTTTCTTCCAGGGAGAAGGGGCAGGCTGGTACAGCCCCGTCTCCCTCCTAAGATGCTGTGAGAAGAGCTGAAAGCCATGTGTGTGCAATGAGGCGCAGTGCCCAGGACCAGCACTGTTAGGTGCATATCCATGGAATAGTCAGTAAGAGGCAGTTTTATGACGTGTCTACTATTATTCGATTAAAAGGAACTAGTGGTGAGTCTTTTCACCAGGCAATGGCCACTGTCCCCCAAAGGGATACTGGTTCAATACAATAACATTTTCTCTTTCTCAAAAAGTTTTTAGCAATAGTTCATTGTCAAACTTAGACTGTCCAAATGAACCTGTGTGTGCATCCATCCAGTGCGTGGGCAGTCTGATGCTAGGAGCTACAGTGTTTTAGCCACATATTGTAACAGACTGCCGATGTCTTTCAGGAGTCTAGCGTCTGGTGAAAAAATAGGAGAGAAACTCCTTTGATGAGAAAAGTGGTAGCTGTCCCTGCCAATCCACTGTGAAATGTCCTAGCCAGATACTTGTGTTAGGTGCAATTATCCGTGGGAATATTATAAAACTTTTTTTTTTAATTTGAGACAGAGTTTCACTCTTGTCCCCCAGGCTGGAATGCACTGGCGTGATCTCGGCTCACTGTAACATCTGCCTCCCAGGTTCAAGTGATTCTCCTGCTTCAGAGCCCTGAGTAGTTGGGATTACAGGTGCCTGCTGCCACGCCCAGCTGATTTTTGTATTTTTATTAGAGATGGGGTTTCACTGTGTTGGCCAGGCTGGTCTGAAACTCCTGACCTCAGGTGATCCACCCGCCTCACCCTCCCAAAGTGCTGGGACTATAGGCATGAGCTGCTGCACCTGGCCATAGCCTATGCTCTTAATCCCAGGTCCAAATGGCGTGAGCCACCGTGCCTGGCCTAAAGCTTTTTTTTAATACATATTTGTAAGTGTGCACAATCGAAATACATCACACCTTCACTAAACTTACCTACATATTAGTAAATTTTTTTTTGCAGTGGAACTTTTTTTCCCTAATTAAATCTGACATATTGAAAATGACAAAATGTTCCATGGATCCGAGCTGCAGGAACGGGGGCGGGAGATGGGAGCTTGGCCACCTGCTCCTTCCCACCTCGCCCTCCTCCGAAGCCTTTGGATCATCCTCCTAAGACACTGCTGCACACAGGTAGAACCCCTGGGGTAGAGAACCCTGCTGTTACCGTGAGCTTTGAAACTATCGTCTTCCATCCACTGACAGGTGCCAAACAGAAGGAGACGGAAACAGAATGACCGCCATGAATGTAGACGCCCTCGTAGGAGAACTTGAACAAAGTTTCTGGGTCACGTTTTGCCTCTTGAACACTGGCTGCGAATGGTCAAGAATGTATATCAGGGTTTAATGATGGGTATTTCTTCCAGTGATGTTGAAATTAAGCTTAAAAAAAAAGAAAGATTTTATGTGCTTGAAGATTCAGGCTTGCATTCAAAGACTGTTTTCAGACCTTTGTCTGAAGGATTTTAAATGCTGTATGTCATTAAAGTACACTGTGTCCTGAAGTTTTCATTATTTTTCATTTCAAAGAATTCACTGGTAAGGAACAGGTGATGTGACATAAGGTGAGTGCACGGCATGTCCAGATCACAGTGCCTTATGTCCGAATACAGCAATACGTCACCGCCACAGCCGGGGCGCACACGTGTGGAGCAACACCGAGCTTGAATGTGGGAGTCTTTGAACCTTTTACCAAATCCGTTTGTTTTCATTAGATTTGTCAAAAACGTGTAATTTGAATATAAATAATTAAAACTTTAATGACACTTTTACACGTAAGTGTTTTGTTCTGGGCTACCGTGTAGACGAGGCTGCTTTACCACAGCTTTATTTATTTTTACTTTCATGCAATTTTTTACACATCTTGGTGGGTAAACCACCACATCCATGAATAAACTCTCGGTGATTTTGAAATGGCAAATTTCTCATTATTTAAGTGTGGATCTGGAAAGGACATGACTTCTGAAATAGCTGCTGCTGGGTTTTAAAAGCTGAGGTCTGTCAAAGTGTGGAGGAGACATTGCCATCAGGCGGGAGCCAGGTGCTGGGAAGATGTCTGGTTTTTTTCTTGTGTATTGAAATGTAAAATCATGATGTTTGTGTGACTGCAGATGCGACTGTTTTTGTAAATGTTATTGTGGCATATACAGTATTGTCATACAGTTGAAGAGAAACAATGTTTCCTAATGTAACTGCTCTGAAAATGTTGCAACTATATATATATATGTATGTGTGTGTGTATATATATATATATATATATATATATGTGCATATATATATGTGAGGATAGTTTGATTTTTTGTTTTGGGGTTTTTTTCAGATTGAAAAATTAAAATAAATCCTACTATCTACCATTTTGTTAAAGGAGTTATTTAAAATGCCTTATATTTCAGCACCTATCGATTAAAATTCTACACGCAGTTTTCCACTCAGCTATTTCTCTAAAGAAGTACATGAATCTCGCCTCTTTTCCGTTATCAGGAAAAAATGTCAGAGTTTAATTCATAAACGATCTCTCTCCACTATTAAGTATGAATATATATATTTTTAGTTTCTATTTTATTTTATTTGAGACAGTCTTGCCCTGTTACCCAGGCTGGAGTGCAGTGGCGTGATTTTGGCTCACTGCAGCCTCCGCCTTCCGGGTTCAAACAATTCTTCTGCCTCAGCCTCCCATAGCTGGGATCACAGGCATGTGCCACCATGCCCAGCTAATTTTTGTTGTATTTTTAGTGGAAACGGGGTTTCACCATGTTGACCAGGCAGGTCACAAACTCCTGACGTCAGGCAAACTGCCCACCTCAGCCTCCCAGAGTGCTAGGCGGTGTGAGCTACCACACCTGGCTGAGTATGAATATATTTAATTTAAAATCGCCAAAAAAGTTTTTGTGTGTGTGTGTGCTAAGGTGTCAGTTTTTTCATTTCCTAGTAGGCCGAATATGATAGAACAAATGTGTATGTTTTCCCCATAGAAACAATAGTGGTTGTGACTTAAGCTAATGGTAAAATTGGAAGTCACAAAGCTGCCAGAACAACACAGTTTTGAAACTCACATTATCAATCTGCTCCTTGTTTGTGTACCCAATGCATAACGTTATGCCTAAGTGTGTGTGCAGATTGCGTATCTGCATACAGGTGATGTGACACATATAGGTACAGTCACAGGCCATGTACAGATGCTTCAGTCAAGGACAGACTGCATAGAGACAGTGGCACCATTAGATTATAATACCATCTTTTTACCGTACCTTTTCTGTTTAGATGCACAAATACTTGCCATGTGTCACAGCTGTCTACAATAACATGCTGTACAGTTTGGCAGCCTGGGAGCCATGGGCCATACCATATAACCTAGGCGTGTAGTGGGTTGTACCATCTAGGTTTGCATAAGTACACACGCTATGATGTTCACACAAAGATGAAATCACCTAGGCCAGATGCAGTGGCTCACGCTTGTAATGCCAGCACTTTGGGAGGCCAAGGCAGGTGGATCACCTGAGGTCAAGAGTTCAAGACCAGCCTGGCCAACGTGGTAAAACCCTGTCTCTACTAAAATTAGAAAAATTAGCCTGGCATGGTGATGGGCGCCAGTAATCCCAGCTACTTGGGAGGCTATGGCAGGAGAATCACTTGAACTCAGGAGGCAGAGGTTACAATGAGCCGAGATCGTACCACCGAACTCCAGCCTGGGCAGCAGAGCAAGATTCCATCTAAAAAAAAAAAAAAAAAAAAAAAAAAAAAAAAAAAAAAAAAAAAAAAAAAAAAAAAAAAAAAAAACAAAAAAAAAAAAAAAAAAAAAGATCACCCAACAACACACTCATCAATGCAGGTATGTAGGTAACTACATGTATAGTTATATAGTTGACGTGGCATATATCTAGGTGATAGGTGACATAGCACCAAGTGCTTTTTCATGCCAACCACTCAGCCACATGCTGTGTATATATGATATTTTTAATCTTCACACAATATCATGAAGTAGTCTTTATTATCACAGAAATGTTAACTAATTTGGCCAAGTTCATACCACACCAAATTTGAGGCCTTTGAAACAGTGTAATACAAATTCTATGCTTGTTTGTTTTTGAAATAAGCTCTCACTGTCACCCAGGCTGGAGTGCAGTAGGGGAATCATGGCTCACTGCAAACTTTACCTCCTGGGCTTAAGCGATCCTCCCAGCTCGGCCTCCCGAGTCGCTGGGACTACAGGCATGTGCAACCATGCTCAGCTAATTTAATGGTTTTTTTTCTTTCTTTCTTTTTTGTAGAGATGTGATTTCCCTATGTTGCCCAAGCTGCTCTCAAACTCCTGGGCTCAAGCAATCCTCCCGCCTTGGCCTCCCAAAGTGCTGGGACTACAGGCATGAGCTACTGCACCTGGCCATAGCCTATGCTCTTAATCCCAGGTCCAAATGGCTACGGTGGGCTAAACTGTGTCTCCCAAAAACATATAATGTCATCCTCACCCCTGGTTACTTGGGCATGTGACCTTATGGGAAATTGTGTCTTTGCAGATATAATCAAGTTAAGATGAAGTCATTAGGTTGGGCTTTAATCCAGTATGACCAGTGTCCTTCTAGGAAGAGGGAAATTTGGACACAGATGCTGTCTGAGTTCATTCTGTGCTGCTATAACAGAATACCACAGAGTAATTTATTAACAACAGAAGTTTATTTGGTTCATGGTTCTAGAGGCTGGGAAGTCCAAAATCAAGGGGCCACATCTGGTGAGGGTCTTCCTCTTGAGTCACAGCATGGCCAATGGCATCACAAGGCAAGAGGGAGCCATACCTTTTTTTTGAGATGGAGTCTGACTCTGTCACCCAGGCTGGAATGAAGCGGTGCGATCTCGGATCACTGCAATCTCCGCCTCCCAGGTTCAAGCAATTTTCCTGACCCAGCCTCCCAAGTAGCTGGAATTACAGGCGTGCACCACCGTGCCCGGCTGATTTTTTTGTATTTTTAGTAGAGATGGCATTTTGCCATGTTGGCCAAGCTGGTCTGGAACTTCTGACCTCAGGTGATCCACCTGCCTCAGCCTCCCAAAGTGCTGGGATTATAGGCATGAACCACCACACCCAGCCCAAACTTGCTTTTATAACAAACCCCACGCTCACCATAAGGACGTTAATCCATTCCATTCTTCCTCTTAAATGTCCTACCTCTCAATGCTGTTGCACTGGGGATTGGGCTTCCGAAGTGAACTTTAGGGGACACATTCAAACCACAGGAGATGCACAAAGAGAACAGCATGTGACACTGGAGGCAGAGGCTGGGGTGACACATGCACAGACTGAGAAATGCCAAGGATTGGCACAACCCCGAAAGCTAAGGGAAGGTGAAAGAGATTCTCCCCAGAGCCTGCGGAGCAGCGTGGCCCTGCAACACTTTGATTCCAGCCTTCTGACCACAGCTGAATCTATGGCCCTTGTTTTTTAAGGTTTTTTTGTTTTTGTTTTGTTTTGAGACGTAGTCTCGCTGTCGCCCAGGCTGGAGTGCAATGGCGCTATCTTGGCTCACTGAAACCTTTGCCTGCCAGGTTCAAGCGATTCTGCTGCCTCAGCCTCCTGAGTAGCTGGGATTACAGGCACCTGCCACCATGCCCAGCTAATTTTTGTATTTTTAGTAGAGATGGGGTTTCACCATGTTGGTCAGGCTGGTCTTGAACTCCTGACCTCATGATCCACACGCCTCAGCTTCCCAAAGTGCTGTGATTACAGGTGTGAGCCACCACATCTGGCCTGTCCCTTGTTTTAAGCCAGCTAGTTTCTGATACTTTGTATGGCAGCCCCAGGAAGCTAATATAGATGCCTCTCTTTGCACCCTATTTTACTGATTTTTTTTTTCTGCAATACAAGTTTTTATGTTTTTACCCTTTTTCACCATTAGGTGAGATCAAAGCCTCAATCTCAATAACAGAGAAACTGCACCTAGGAAGCACAAAGGGGCACCCAAGACAGCACCTTAGAAGTCTCTCTGCTCCCAGAGGGAGCCCCAAGGGAAAGAAGAGATTCCTAGTTGGGAGCAGAATGTGTCACTTTGAGTGAATCTATCTTAAATGCTTCATCAAGAAGACAAGGGGATGCATTGCAAGCTAAAAGAGCAACAGCCCCACTCAGGAAAGGACGGAGGCCCTTGTTCCCTACCAAAACATTTCTTGTGTTCGCCCTTTGGGCTGACTGCTGAAGCGGGGGAGTGGAAACCCAGGCGCATCCTACCGTGGACATGTAGTTGCAGTGACGAGCTCAAGCTTCCCCTGATCCTCCCCACCTTATGCCTCTAGCCTTAAAGCTGGTTCTTCAGTTCTCTGGATCTCAATTTCCAGATCTGTAAAATGGGAATAACAGCACCTTCTTCTGAAGGCATTTGGGAAGCTTAAGTGAAATCATGGAAGTAAAATACTTGGCACATAAAACACTTACCATGTTAAGTGAGATCATGTAAATAAAACATGTACAAGCAGCAAAAGCAAAAACAGACAAGTGGATCGCATCAAAATGCAAAGCTTCTGCACAGCCAAGGACACGATCCACAGAGATGTTCACTGTCACTCCCCAAGCTGTTCATGGCCTTGCACTTGGGAGATCAAATGCAAGAGCATCGATCAGTGCTTTTTTCCCACAGTAGATTCCTCACGCCTTCTATTTAATTTTTTTAAAGGAAGGAAGACCTCAGATCAAACAGTGGTCAAACCTATCATGTCTTCTTACAAAAAAAAAACAAACTTGAATCAGATCAAGCCATTTAAGTCTAACTATTTGTGTATATAGGAAATGCAGACAGAAGAACCCAAAAAATGAGCATAGAATGGGCAAATCCACATAACCTGTATTCTTCAACAGATACGTTGGAAGAAAACAAAGGGGGGGAGGGGGAATGAACACAACTATAGAGGCCAAATTCAACGTGGGGACC